CCACTGAGAGGAGAAAGGCTACCGGACAAGCCAAATGACCATTTGCCATGCTACTGTACTAAGCCAACCAGGCACATTACACTTTTTTTTTTAAGGATGAGAAACTGTCTTTCTTCTTAAGAAGAGAACGCCTTTTGCTTTCCGCCTATAATGGTGCCTCCAAGATACAGGCAGATTGTGCAGGATACATTCCCGGCATACAACATGGCAAGACGATGACGCCATTTTGCCTCTCGTCAACATTATCATCCTCCAAGAGCTTTGAGGGGCAGACTTGGACTCTGGCGTCGAAAGTTGCCGGAGTGTAAATGAAGGAAGAATACAGTCCACTGCCATGAGTTACTGCCAACGAACCTCTGCAGGGGCGAAACGGTAGCTGTAGACGATCGCTGATTTTTTTTCCAGTCCTTCCATCATCAATAATTCAACTTGTATAAGTTCCTAATTGACACTCAGCAGAGCCCCGGCCTCTCCTCCATGTAGCTGCTCTCTCTGTGTTCCCCACTGGAGACTGTTTACTAGACGGCTGAGAGGAAATCCAAGAATAATCTTTCTATTTATGGTGTTTCATGCATATTGATGTGCAGGGAGAGCTAATCTGCCACGTGCAATCATGGTCAGGAGCACTGAGGCCTCGCTACAGGCTCTGATGATGGGCATCCGGAAAGTGAGAAAAAGCATTAAGGGCACATTAAGGGTCATTGCTCTGGTTTGATGAGGGGTGGGAGGAAGTCACGAGACACAGGAGCAGATCCACCCCTGCGCTCAATGGGAAATAGGAGGTCACTGAGTAACAGAGTCGCCGCGGCCGTGGTTCAATCTCTCCCCAGGTTCCTTCCCGGGCGCTGTTGTTCAAAGCCGTGGCACGCACAGTCTCTCCCTCCTTTGGCTTCAGCTAAGCGTTAGCAAAAAACCCTCCAGGCTTCGGTTCAATTGTGGGAGGCTTCTTTACAGACAGAGATGACTTTGGCCCAATGGTTAGGATGTCAGCACTGCATTCAGGAGCCGTGACTACGTGGCTTTACTCCTGAGTCCAGATCACCATTGACAAAACCAGTCCTGCCCACCCAGCGGTGCTCGTGCAGAGGAGGTGGACTGGCAAAGGACTGAAGTCTCCTGCTTCTGCTGGGCAGTGCCAAGGAGGAACAAAATCTTGGCTGCACACAGGAGGCAACAGCAAGGAAATCTCAGGTTGCGTCCTCACTTGGTGATGTCAGCAAGTCACTCTCCGTGCCTCTGCCTTTGCAGTGGAGGCAATGGGTCTAATCATACTCCCCACCCTGCAGAGCAGGTAGTGTGAGGCTTGGTTTATGAATGCTTGCCCGGTGCTTGAGGATCACAGCATGAACGCCACCATAGAAGTGCAAAATCTTTACAGGGGTCAACCAGAAAGCAACGCCTCCTAATATGTAGCTCTTAAGCAAGCCCCCAGACGTGGAAGCTGTTCTTCCGCTTGACTGCCTGCCTTAGGGGACCACAACAAACTCAGGGGTCTATGAAAGGATCCTGGAGAAACCAAAATATCACATGCAAAGAGTCTGTCCCAGAAGAGACATGGCTGAGGTGCTGCTTCTTCATGACAATCTCTGCCCGCACGTCGGCATGCGATCCACAGAAGCCATCTCATTTTTTTGATTGTACTACGCTGCCCTGGCCGCCATACAGCCCAGAGGGTGAAGGATGGGCTATGAGGCAATGTTTTCAAGGTGACAGGGAAGTGCTGGAGGCTGCACAACATGGACATGGACTTTTGCCATGCCAAGATAGAGGCCTGATGAATCTATACACTGGGAGCATCTACACGTGCCTCTTGTAAGTGGACTTAGCCTAAAATTGTCATTTATAAGGTGTATTAAGGGCACATGTCTACACGTGTGTGCCTTTAATGCATCTTAAAAATGGTGATTTAAAGCCACGTGAGCCTAAATCTGATGCCTGCATAAAGTAGATATGAAATTTAGGTGCAAATAGCTAAGTTGCATTAGCGCAGGTGTAGACACACTAATGTGCATTAACATGGTGCGCGTCGATGGATACAAACTGCGTTAATGCACATTAGCGCGTCTGCATGTGCTTCAATGCGACTTAGCTATTTGCACTGAAATTTAATGCACTTTAATGCGCATTAGCGCGTCCACGTGTAGGCGCATGCCTAAATGGCCTTAATGCGCCTTAAGCAAAGGCGCGTTGAATTTAGGCGTGCATAAATACATGTGCAATCATGCCCACTAATGCATACATACTGCAGGAACTATCCCAGCATTCATCTGGATCTGTGGTTCTCAGTCTCATTAGACTCAAGATACACCTGGAAAAGTGCCAGCTCTTATCTTGCACACATTTCTTACTACAGAAAAATAATAGAGCAATGTCTTCTGTTGCAAAGAATTCAGGAAAATGGTAGCAGATCAACATGTTTTTGATGTTATGCCCTTGTTCACCCATGGGGGAAAAAAAACCCTCACTGATGAATAAGGAGACTAGGTTGAACAAGAGCTGTGTGTTCACTGAGGCTGTGCAATTTTTTTGCAAAAGTTTAACAGTTTTTCAATAATATTTAGCTGAAAGGAAACCAAGAGGCATTACTTCCTGACTGATACTCCTCGAATGGTTTTTACAAAAATCTTCAGCGTTTTTTCTCCTCCAAATCATGCTTTTTTCCCCTAGTTGTGGGGAGATCAAAGAGTTAAAATCTTACAACCCACTGCATCCCCCTCACTGTGCCAGGCCTCGCCTCACTCCGGGCAGATAGTCCAGAATATCACACAGGGTTTAAACAAAGCCCTGGGGATGCTCACAAATTATCAAAGAGGGAGTGAGAGCGAATATTGATGTCTGCCACTGAGCCGCATCTTTGACACGCTGCTAATTAACAAAGGGAGGAAGGGAGACACTGGCTCAATGGATCAGCAAGGGAATAGACTCAGCTCCTACCTTATTCCGGGTCTGGGTTTGCCCGATCAGAATGAGCGCGTTGGAGGAAATGATGGACAGGCAGAAGTTAATGAGGATGACGGAGCGCTCGGAGCGGATGTACCTGCAAAGAGAAAAGCCACCGTATCATTGCTGCTATTACAGTGGTCCCGAAAGGACCCTGCCAGGTCCCAGCCCTGCTGCCTGCTTGGCGCTGTATATGCCCACTGCAAAAGACCGTCTCCACCCTGCACGGCTTATCATCTAAATGGACGAAAGGAGGCAGGGAAGGGAAAATAGTTGCATGGTGACAGAGGCTCTCCAGCCAGTCAGTGGCAGAGGCTGGAGTAAAATGCTGCTCCCCAGTGCAGTGCTCTCAGCACTCGACCAGCATTTCTCAACCCATGGGTCATGGCCCACATTGGGTTGCAAGAATATATGAAAGGGTCGCGGGCAAACTTCAGAGAAGAAAAACATGGGAAACTGTGGCTTTTCCCTTGCAGGCTGCTTGAGACCCAGGGTGCGAATTAAGGGGGTGAGCTCCCCCATAAGCAACAAAAGCCCCCCCATAAGATTTGAAAGTCATAACCTGGGGTGGGGTCTCTGATCAGATTGCTCCTTCACTTAGGTGGTCCTGTTAATCAATGAACTGGTTTATTTATTTATTTTTTTTGCAGAGGCAAAGCATCATTTGAGCCCCCAACACACACACCCCGCCGGGGGGCACTGGCTCAGGAGTGAGGGGCACTGGGTCAGGGCCAGCCATCAACATTTGCAAATGGGTCCTGATACAAAAAAGGCTGAGAGCCACTGCACTAGGCCACCCTGACTTCCCAGCTGAGACAGTGGTAGACGTGTTCAGGATTATAGGAGTCGACAAACCAGAGGCCGAAGCTGGACGCTGGAGGGCAAAGCGCAGACCCTCGGTTGTACAGCACTCCACTCTGCAAGCAGGAGTGTTTCTCCTGACCCTACTGAGCGATCGGTGCATGCCCCAAAGCACAACGATGGAGAGCCCTTGAAATGTTTGTCCCAGCACAGATGCTGTTCTCGTTCCTATAAACCTCAAAACTTTTTCTGAAACTTGCTGAGCACTAAAAGTCTTCCCCAGCTCCAGCGACTTGAAAGGGGACTTGAAAAGCAGCTTGAAACAACAACCCAAACGTGTTAAGATTTCCAAACCCTTGAGCCGGCAGGCTCTGAAAACAGATTCCCAATGAATGCATTATCTTAACAAAGTGCTTCCACATCAACTTCCCCACCTCCCTTTGCTTCACCCAACCAGACACCCCTGGAAAAAAAAATCATTGTGGTTTGCTATTCAAAGACTGCTGATATGTCCCTCTCTGGGGCTCATAAGGGATTAAGCCTGGAAAAATCTGGCTATATCTTTAGGTGCATAACCACAGTGCCAGGTTCCTGGACATGAAGGCACCCGAGGTAGAAAGCTGTTGGTTTGCAGACCTTGCAAGACCGACCATTTCTAAGAGGCCCTATACAGCTCTGCTATGGAGCTGCATGTATGGCAATTCATTCAAAGCCCTCATTGGTTTGGGGAGCTTGTTTAATGCCTTTTTAGTTACTCAGTGATGACGTTGAAGAGGGGGGAATAGTGCAAGAAGCAAAGAAGCATGATGCAGGAAAGAGCTGTGGGCCAAACCCAACATGCAAGGACACACACGAAGTGCTTGGTTCTCTCACGCAGTCCCAGCCAGCATGGGTGGGTGTTTGCCTGAGGAAGGGCATGGAGGAGTATCCTCTCCATTCAGTTCTGGCTGCAATGGCTTGAGCAGTCCATATGGAGACACTTGGGTTGCCCATATAGCAATGTCCTCCTCTTGGCCTAGCTGGTTGATCCCAAAGGAAAGGCATTTGGATCCAGCCTTTCAGGGCTCCACTCCTAGACCGCTGGAGAGCACAGCCCACCCTGCCACGGCATCTGCCTTTGGGTGACATTTCCTGCACCAAGGATAAGGACTAGTACCCACTGAAACACGTAACTTCACCCCCCGTTACTCATTCAGGCTTGCCAGGCTTTGCGTGCTGCGCTTTGCAAGCAAAGCACCAGTCAGGGCTCTCAGCCCCTATCCTCCCACCCTCTTTTTGCTCGGCTCGCAGTTTGGCTTCCAGAAGAAGATATCAGCTCTGCAAACTCTATCGCAAAGGCAGAGGGTAGCTGCGGCTGGGTCCCAGTAGGAGTTAGCACAAATCTGCCTTGAGGATGAGGTCTTGGGACCCAGGCAGATCTGCAGTCACAGTCTGATTTAACCCGGGGTAAATTACTACAGTTCAGGTGCTCTTAGGGCAGGATAGGAGAAGGCAGATGGAACAGCTGTACTGGATCCAGCTGCATTGGATCCCCCCTGAACTCACACACACACACACACACACACACACACACAC